TGATGCTCAGCTGCCACACGAAGTTCGGCGGGGATCTGAAGATCGGAGAAGAAAGGCTGTACCCAGCCTCCGCCACTAAAAAAAATGACTTTTTCGCCATAGGAAGGGATCTCAGGACGGGAGAAATCCGGACCTGAACGGCATTCGAAGGACGGAAAAGCCCTGGCGCAGCTAGACACGGCCATTATGGTTCGAAATGATTAACGAAGGGATGAAAAATGCAATAAATTGGTAAATCTTGCTGTAAAGACTTTCCCGATGGATATGGCAATTGTTAGTTTCTTAATGCATGCTTTTTTGGCATATGGCTTGAATCTGAGGTTTGATATACATGGTAACCCCCCAACATACCCTTTCAATTGTATGTTGTTCTTTGGCAATACGGCAGTGGCATCACTGACATCGATCTTCTTACCCGACTCCATTAGGCCTGTTCTATATGTGATGTGCGTGCTGATATCATCTGGTGAATTGCATTACTGAGTTTACCAAAGACAGGAACACATTTTCATGAGACATATCCGCCGGTTCTTCAACGCTCTATGAATGTGGTCGTTTGGATACTTCTCTATGGAACAAACAGACATACTTTCGAGGTTCGTAATCAACAATTTACAATAGACATACTCATCGCAGTGGCGGATCCAGCACCTGGCGAAGGGGCACGGCCACGGGTACTGGATCCGCCGAAATTTACAAACGTGGAAGAAGAGTGTATGCAAGTGTATTATTGTATTGAGCTCTACATCTGCAAGTTTAATATTGTACTTGTCAAAAATATTGCAAGTGAATTTATTCTTGTTCAAGACGCAGTCCCATTTGTCCAACAACACTGTGCTTAAGGTGATCGACCATTTCTTTATCTGTGCACGATAAAAGTAAGATGGCATTTCTTAACGGGTCAAGGGGTAGAACTTGTTAATGATGTTAAACATGCAGGAAAAAAATTAAAAGAAACTTAGGGATTATAAACCCCTATTTTAGAAAGTTTAAGTGCTTTTAGTATATTCATTCTTTTTGTATAAGTACCATCGGTGAATTTGAGGGAAAAGAAAGAAAGAAAGAGAAATAGGGGGCTGCAGAGTTGTTTGTTCTATC